TTTTTTTTTTTTTTTTTAAGATAAGCATTTTTTGCAACTCCACTAAGGCTGCCACCCTGGAGTCCCTGGGGACCTGAGTTTGGGATGTTTTCCAGAAGGCTTCCTGAGCTTTCAGGATGCTGCAACACTTAGAAATAGTGCCAGACCAAGTGACTGGAGAGATGCTGATGTTCCTGAGTTTGGAACTCATTGTCATTCTATGCATACTCTCCTGGCTTTTTCCCCAAACCTCTACCCCTCTTCCATCCATCTATCCGGTTTCTTATGCTGGACCCTTTTTCTTTAGTTTCCTTAAGATTCAAGGTGGGTTAGAGGTATAGGCCCAACAAGGGGAAGCCCTCAGCTGAGTTCTGTGCAGTTAGTTCTTGTCTGGCCAGGCCACCATTCTCTCACTTTTGCCTCATAATGTCCAAGTGACCTTAGACAATTGCTAGGCAAAACTTCCATCCCCTCCTCCCTTCTCCCATCACCCCACTCCTCCCCTTGGCCTAGAGCCTCAACTCCTGCAGTCCAACTCTCTGTTGGCTAGCAAGGCCTGTGACGTGAAGAAAAATCAATTTGGCCAGCTTCTAGGTGGTTCTGCCCAGGGGCTGCAGCAGGAGTCTGACCTGAGGGGAGGAAGGACAAAGAATCTCTAAGGCTTTTTTTTTGTTTTGTTTTCTTTTTTCATTTTGCTAGGGAAGGGGGAGAAACAGAACAAGGCCTGAGAAAGGGGCTGGGGTGTTGGGACTCTGACCAATGGTAACTTGGACAGGAAACACATAGGTGCCAAAACCTGCCTGAAACCTAAAGGCGAAGGTCTGCCCTATAGGTTCTCAAAGCCCTTGTGGCCTTCCCCACCCTCATCATTACCCCTCCTTCATTGTTTTCTGACTCCCTTTCTCTTGCAAAAGCTTCTCCTGCCCACCTTATGCCCAGCCCCAGCCTAGGAGGCAAAAATGAGAATTTTATCTGCTTTTGAATTCTAATAGCCCAGAACCAGAGTTTGTTTTCCTTCCCACCGGGGACCTGGTGTGTATAGTGGGGAACGAGTGCACCTTTGGAGGTAGAAGGGGTTGGGACTAGCCTCTCCCCTGACACTCCTGTCTGAAAAATGAGACCTGGACACCCTCCTCCACAGGGGTATAGGCAGCTGCCCTTGAAAGTTGAGTGGGTTGGGAATCTTGTGTGAGGGGGTTGGGGATGGAGAATGAGAAGAAGGCTCTCAATATGGAGAGAGGACAGTGACAGGGGCGGGGCGGGGGTGGGGGAGGAGGATGTCCCGGAATAAAAAGGGTGCAAGCGCCGTTGACTCTCTTCCCTACCCAGGCGACAAGCCCACCTCAGCCCCCTTACCCCTTCCAGAGGGGTGGAGTCCGAGGGAGGGACAGGCAGGCCAGGGAGGTGGGGAGCTGGGATGCAGCGAGTGACTTGGGTGGGGAAGGGGTGAGGGCGAGGTTACCTAGGAGCTTCGGGGGTGGGGGAGGAGGCGAGAGGAGAGAACCGGCTCCCCTTCGGGTAGACGCCGAACGGGAGGCCCCCCGCGAAGGAAGCCCCGCCCGCCGCCGCCCCGCCCAGGCCCGCAGCGCGGCGCTGCAGCGCGAGGGGCGGAGAGGCAGAGAGCCGAGAGAGGAGGACCAGACGCCCAGGTCGCCTGCATCCCTGTGCCGCAGGAGCGAGCAAGCGCGCCCCGGCCCTGCTCCCCAGCCTTCGCCCGGGCGCCCCACCTGCTTCCTCGGTCCCAGAGACCGAGCACCTGTCCTCCGCCTCGGCTTCAGCTGAGCCCCCCTCCTCCGGAGCGCGCACAGCCCTGCTGCCCGAGAAGTGCCCCAGCCTGTCGCCGGCGACCACCATGGCGGAGACCAACAACGAATGCAGCATCAAGGTGCTCTGCCGATTTCGGCCCCTGAACCAGGCCGAGATTCTGCGGGGAGACAAGTTCATCCCAATTTTCCAAGGGGACGACAGCGTCGTTATTGGGGTGAGTGTCGCCCCGGGAGGGAATTTGGGAAGATTCTACCCCGCCCCCGCCGAGTCTTAGCCCCTGGCTGTCACTGCACCCCCTCCCCGCCGCTCAGCCTCCATCCTCCGCCGCAGCCCCTCCTCTCCCCTGCATCAGGATGACTGGGTGTGGCCTGGCCAGGCTGGTGGCCAAGTCTCCGCAGAGTGGGAGGGGGCTACTTCCTCGCAGTCGGGGGACCCAACTCCCCTTTGCTGCTCGCTGCAGCGTCCGCACCCCTCAGAGCCGGTCCCATGTTTTTCTGATGTTTTCCCTCTCCCCTAGAGAAAGCGCATCTTCCCTTTGTTATTGGCTCGGATCTCTACCCCCACCTCCCAGGAAGGGAGGGGGTAGACCAGTGGATGGGCTAGATGACAGGTGGGCAGTCCAGGGCTTCTGCGGGTGGAGGTATAAAATGAGAGTGGGCTCTAGGACCAAGCCCTCCGTCAGCCCCTGAAGTAGTTGCAGCCTAGACTGGGGCGGAGGGCACAGATCTGATGAAGGGTTTTCTGAGGAATACATTGATGCCACACCCAGTCGGGGAAGGGGGCTCTGGGGTCCTAAGGAAATGTCTGCCTTTCCCTCCCAGGTACAGTAGGAAGAGGATTTCAGACACCCCAATCCCCCCTAACAAATAAAAATAACCAAATCCTGAGGTCTTGATAGGTACTTGCTTATTCATCCTTTCTCTTGATGATCCAGTAAAAAAAGTAGCAAGTCGCTTCTACCTCATCATGACAGCCCTATCCGTGGAGGAGATCTTGTTAAGGAGGACTGATGTTTCCTGTGGGTTTGTTACTTGACGTGTATTATTTAATCCTCAAAACAACACTCTGAAGTAGGTATTAATGTTTCCATTTTACAGATGAGGAAATTGAGGCCCAAAGAAGTTGAATGACTTTCTCAAGGTCACACTGTTAACTCATGGATCTGAACCTTAATCTGTAACTCCAAAGCTCATAGATTTTCCTATCACACTGCCTCTGCAGATTTCTCTTCTGGACCTTTATCTGTGATGGCCTAAAGGGAATTCCTAGGGAATTCTTCACCCAACCCTCCTTTCCGAGGTTGGTAGGGATGTCAGGCTATGGGGTGAAAGGATCTGGGTGTCGAGTCCTGTAAGGCTTTGAGGGGTGCTGGGCCAGGAAATTGCAGCCAATTGGAGAAGGGAGGGGCACATATGAGGACTGCTGTCAAGGTCAGGAGCACTGTTTATATATCTTTGGTCCACAGTGCTTGGCACAAGGCATGCTTATTAAAGGAATTAAGGAAACATGGGGAGGGAGCATGAGCCTTTTGAATCAGTGAGAATGGGACTTTGAATAAACATGTTTTAAGAAGAGCCTGCTTGTATGTCCCGTCCCCAAGGACCCCAGTCTGTCACCATGCTGAGCTGTCACCAACTGAACTCAAATGGGTGCCTCTGCCTTGTGTGTGTGCTTACATATGTGTGTGTTCACCACATACAGAGGGCTCTTGTCTTTCTTTGCCTCAAGGGCCTTAGGCTTTACAGTCTGGTCTGTCTGGCCAGGCTAACATGATCAGCCTGGGGGCTCCTCTCCAAGTAGTCTGGACAGCAAGCATTAGCTGTGAGAGTTAGAGCTTGATGGTCCCCTGAGGTATGAAGGCTGAGAAACAGGAGGGAGGTGGTCATGGGAGAGCCCATCCACAAAAGGCTTCTACTGTGAAGCCTAGTTTCCTTGCTTTATTTTTTTCAGGTAAGTCTGAAAAACTCCTTTAGGCTCTCAGGCCATCCTGGTGTGGCGGGCATGGGGCATGGGGTGATGTTGGGAGAAGGAGTGGTGGTATTGATCTGTCCAATTTGCTAAACAGGAAAGACACGGTAGAAGGTGGAGAAGGGGGAGAGATGAAGAGAGGCCCAGGGCCCCCTGCCAATTCAGATTCTATCTTAGTTCCACAGCTGGTCCTTCCCTGTCTGTTTTGCCTGATATTTGCAGGGCTGCACCTTTGTCTCACTGTGTATATTCCGTTGCCCAAGCCCTTCCTGTCAATCTCTCTGGCCGAGATAGATGCTGCTGGGGGGCCATTTTGTCTCAGGCAGCGTCCTTGGAGCTTGCCTTTCCAAGCTGACTGTTCCTTGCTCATTTGGGAGGAGGAGGGCTATAGGAGAAGGGATTCTGAGGCGACCCTTGAGTCCCACCAAGGGGAGGAAATCCCCTACCCACTTTCCTCTTTCCTCCTCGGTCTCCCTTTGGGGCCCAGCATCTGAGGAATTAATGGAGGAAGCTGCTTCAGGAAGGTGAGGGAAGAGTGAAGGGGAGACAATAATCTCTTCAAACCCAGTCCCTGCTCCTTTCTCTAATGGCTCTCCTCTCTGCCTCTGCGGCACTGCGGCTAGCTCTGGGCTTCAGAGTCCCTGGTGTTTGTGGGCTTTTTCTGCTTGGCAAATAAGCTAGAAAGATAGCTCTTTCAGCCCTATCCCTCCCCCATTCCCCTGACTTCTCCTAGCAATCTGGGGGATGGGACTTAGCCAAAGTTAATGGCCTGAGTCATAGTAGAAGGGTGTCTGGGTCACTGTCTGTGTGCTGTGTACCTTGTTTTGCTCTCTGTGTCACTCAGAACCCAGTGTGACTTTTTCACTGGACCCATTTAAGTGTTTCTCTGCTTTGGTCTTGGTGGGCAAAGTGTCCTGGTGCCTGCTGTCTGGGCTGTTGTTGCCTCTATACCAGACACGGGAGGGATGACAGTAAGAGAAGACAATGCACTCTCCCTCCCTCCCCCTGTTGCTCTCTCCCTCATTCATTCAAGTGTCCACAATATTTCCTCCCTCTGGTCTCCTAATGGGTTAGTAGGCAGGCAAAATCCAGAACTGTCAAGTACTTCATTTAGAAAAGCAGGCAAAAATCCAGGACCATCAAGTACCTTATTTGGAAAGGCTAGGTTGGGACCTGATGGGTTATTGGATAAGAGTCAGTATTGTTTGGGGTGGCCTAGGATTCCTTTGATATCTGAAGAGGGGGAGCAGGTCTCCCTTTAGCTTTGGGGGAGTCTCATAAAGGAAAATAGAGAGGAGAGGTAATGTTCACCATGGCCAGTGTCTCTCCAGCATTACCATGGCAACAATCCCCAGGGGTGTCACCATGGAAATCAGGCCTGGTGCTCAGAAGTTCAGCCTTTACCAAGTGCTTTACTGAGGGTTGAAAAGGTTGGTCATCTTGGGACCCCTGATCTTAGGCCCTCCCATTAACTTTAGTCAGCTCACATAATGGAAAACTACTGAAAGGTGCCAGGAGACACAAATGGAGTAGGCAACAACAAGGAGGTGTGGGGTGGGGAGAACAGAGCCCTGGGCTGAGGGACTCTGAAGGTGGGCTCTCTGGAGAAGGCTGTGAGGAGTGCTTAGATTGCTGTGGGTAGGGGAGTGGATCTCAGGGGCATTCCTCAAAGGTGGAGAGTCTCCCTGAGTGTTTCTAATGAAATAAATCTTCCAGTCTCTGATGCTGTCATAGTGAGGGAGGGTTCCTGAGAGAGGATGGGTGAGAGAATCACATATTTCTGAAGATGGGGTTGAGGTTGGAAAAAAGGAGTGATGAAACATCTAGAGTCTGGAAACATTTGGAGAAATGTCCAAATGGGGAGGGGGGTGTGTGGCATGTGGCGAAGGGGAAAGAAAAGCCATGATAAGGATCTGATGCAGTGCTCAGTGTTCAGGCACTTCAGTTTTTGAAATTTTGAGAAAGAGAGGGAGAGAGAGAGAGAGAGAGAGAGAGAGAGAGAGAGAGAGAGGAAGAGAACACAAGCCAAGGAAGGGCACAAGAGAGAGGGAGACACAGAATCCAAAGCAAGCTCCAGGCTCTGAGCTGTCCAGCACAGAGCCTGACTCTGGGCTCAAACTCAAACTCACCAACTGTGAGATCATGACCTGAGCCCAAGTTGGATGCTTAACCGACTGAGCCACCCAGGCGCCCCAAGTTTTTGGATCACTATGGCACTGGGGGTCTGGATTCAGATTGCTTGGGTTTGAGACCATGCCCTACCATTTCTCAGTTGTGTGACTGTAGGCAAGCTACCTTACTTCTCTGAAACTCAGTTCCCACATCTATAAAATGGAATAATAACAGTACATATCTTTTAGGATTGCTGTGAACATTAAATGAGGTAATGCATATTGCTTAGCACAGTGACAGACACATAATAAACTCCTGATAAGAGTTAGATGTTGTTATAATTTTATACATGTTGTCTCCCCACAAGCTAGCCTTTGACACATTGGGAAGTAGTTAACATTTCCGCTTCTTACTAGTTGTTTTATCCAAACATCCAGGTCTCTAGTATCTTTTTACACTCTTACTCCATCAATATCTGTATTTACTTGACAAATATTTATGAAGAACATCCTGTGGGCCAAGGACTGGGCTTGATGTTGGGGCTTTACAGCGAATCCCTGCCTTCAAGAAACTCTTGGTCTATGTGGTGATCCAGGCTGTGGAGTGGTCTGGGCAGAAGCCTGAGAGGGGGCATCAGAAATGGCTAAAAAAGAAAGGAAGGAAGGAAGGGAGGGAGGAAGGAAGGAAGGAAGGGAAGGAGGGAGGGAGGGAGGAAGGAAGGAAGGAAGAAAGAAATGGCTTTTGCTAACTATACTCACTCCCCCAGATTCTGATAAGAAACTTCCCACAACATACTATAGTCCGACTCAAAGTAATTTTGTGTCATGAAAAGACATAAATAATGGTGATGTTTCCCACGTGAGTAGTCTAGAGGCAAAATAAGTAGAAAACCACTGGTCTAGTTATTCGCGTAAAAATAGCTGACAAACAAATTCATCTTGAGTTTAATCAATAGAAAATTTAAAACAAATCAACAATTTAACAGAAATAAAAATCTTAAGGTAAAATAATGAACTAAACTTGGAATTTAAGGGTCTAGCCAAGAGTAAGGAAGAGATAGCAGGCCTTTCCAGAAACCCTGAAATTATAATCTGTGTCTATGGCTTTCCCTGCTTATGAGTTTCCTAAGTGGAC